ATAATACACATAGGAAGAACATATATATAATGATATCTGCTATTTTTTTTAACCGTAAAACTATTTTGTCAAATTACAAATACAAGTAAATTATTTCACACCCTATGAATTAAATAACTAATATAATAAAAGCAAGCTGTAAAATACGTATATTTCTAATAATAGTTGAAAATATTTATAATTATATTTCATATTTAAAAATAAATAAGGTAGTCATGAATTTTTATTTATAGTTTATAGTGAATTTGATTTCAAGATTTTTGTTTTTTTTAAACTTAAAGGTTTTGTTACATACCTAGTTTATCTTTTGGAATATTTTGTCATATATTTTTTAATTTAGAATACAGCTCTAAAGCAAGATATAAACTAATTAAATAACTACTATAGTTTATTAGACGTCGGATTAAGGCCGTTTTCAAATAATTACTGGCACACCGCATTTTGTTTCTTGAGATTTTGGTATTGCCATTATGAAGTTTTATATTACAACCACAGAGAAGGTAATTATTAAACATATTACTTATAACGGAAATAACACACCAAATGATCAAGTATTCAGTCATACGTAATCTGGAATATGTTCACAGTCATGTACGTATACTCTATACGTATTAGAAATTGAAAGATATTACAGGAGCTGTCACTTCAATATGAAAGTTTGAAAAACTTTCCACTTGTATAAAATTAAAAATGAGGTAATATATTTATAGCTGGAGGCCTGAACGCGTCCATTTAGCACTACATTAACATCGATATTTGCGTACATAAATTACAAGAGCAATTTAGACCACATGCACTAATTAATACTTGTTGGTTAACGGCATGCGCCAACGTTTTAGAAAAATGAACAATGGCAGAACTCTTTGTGAGCGTCGTAGCTCAGTGGTTTAGAATCTTGACTTACAATAAAAAAGTAATGTGTTGAAATCTAGCCCAAACTTATTAAATATAATAATAATTATAAGTGTAGTACAAACCTTATCTTAATAATATTATCAACGCGAAAGTTTATGACGTGACTATAGATGGATGTTTGTTACTCTTTCATGCAAAAACTACTTAACGGATTTTATGAAACTTTACAGTAATACAGCTTATACATCAGAATATAATGGGCTATAATTTATAAATATATTATGTACACTGGTCTATATATAATGATAAATATCAAATAAGTACATCCAAAGATCAGATGAAAGAACTGAAAGAACTAAGAACACATAAGAACCGACGGCCCAGCATTCGCAGCCAGTCAACAAAGAGTATGGAATTATATTTATAATTTAACTGTTTGAGCTAAACTCGAACAAATAAAAACGATGGCCATTCTTCACGTATGTTTGCACAAACATCTCGCCATTTTGACTTAGTGCCAGGCACATTGCACATCTGTACTGACAGCTAGGGTAGCCAACTCCCTTAGGTACAGCCGGACAGTCTTGGATATGTAATTTACATAGGAATACTGCTACCCAGGCTCGCAAAGGTGAACAGTGTAGACGTGACTGGAGTGGGGTCACTATACAACTAGTTCATAAAAAAACGGTAATACCTAATTGTATGCCAATTTAATTTATTTTCTTCTCATTATTTATGTTCTTTTTATTAATAATATCTTTTCTTTTATGTACATAAAATATTTTATTAATAAACTGAACACAAGACATGTGATGTGTATTACGTTATTTTAACTGCACAAATACAGTACCCTATTAAATATTTATTTATTAAAACTTTAATGCATAGATACACAAATAAAGGTGCACATGGCGGACTTAACACCTAGAGTAATTTTCTCCCAGTCAACATAAACAACAATCCCAACAATATATATTGAAATTGTACAAATATCATTAATTTATAAAATTTCAATACACTTATGGGTATATTGTTTGACACGTTAATTAAATTCAATCAATAACAAATCATACAGAGTCAAAAGTGACAAAAAAGGAGGCATCAAAATAACAGCAGCCGTAGGCATGTAACAGAGGTATGTACCAGAGGTCGGAAGTTGCGTTGTTCAGAATAAGTAAGAAGACAACTAGTAGATTTTATATAAAAATAATAATTCTAGACTGTTATTGTACTCTATCAAACATTCTTATAAGATGATAATTTTTATAGGATGACAATACAATTAAATTTCGCTGTTGGATCACGAATATGCCAGGAAACCATCATAAATAATGATTCATTGTTGTTGTCCAAGGGGAACCAGAAATATTTTAAGATTTATTATAAATTACGTCCCTGAATTAAATTATTTTAGCTATATACATACGTGTATATAGTGTTTTTTAAAAGTTAGGAGGAATTTATTCTTTAATCTATATATTAAAGAATAAATTCCTCCTAACTTTTTATTTTAAGCATTGTAGTTAAAAAAAAAACATTTTTTTTATAATATTTGCTACGATGAAAAACTATTATAGATCTATAAACCTTACTTTTGCTATGTCCATGATTTTTTGTGAAAGAATGAAAAGCTTGGCTACCGCGGTTGTAAACCTTATTGTGTGGGGCGGTTTATAGGCAGCTGGGGTCGGTGCAGCCAACGATGGTGGTAATTAAAGGCGCAATATGTAAAAATAACAGTATATTATAAAAATATACGCCGTAACACAACTATGTACGAAAGCTAGAGCAATAGAAGGAATGGCAAAACCATAGCAACCAATATAAATATTTAAAAATATGGAACTGTCATGCCAGCCAGCGGCCCGAATGTAAGGAGGCCTGGATATATATCGATAAACCCTAATTCGGATATGTCCTTGATTTCTTTGCGACCAGCTTGGCTACCGTGGTGGCAGCCAGACGGACGGCACACGGCGCGGCGTCCAGAACAATATAATAATACCGCAGATGCCTAACTTGCGTATTACGACTTATGTAGTGTTTTCACTGTAATTTATAACATTATATTATTATACTGATTGTTTTATGTTCGTTTCTAGTTTTATACCACTTTACAACGGCAAGCAAGCTGCTACATCTGACCAAAAGGGATAATTGTTGCTGTCGCCTGATAATACTGTAATGTAATATTTTTAATATAATCTTATTAATATTATTAACGTGAAAGTTGAAAGTTTGTATTATAGCTCTTTAACACATGCAATAAAAAAGATATAATGAACGGATTATGAAGAAAATAACAATAATAACCCTGTTACAATATGTAAGCTTATGCAGCAAGATAACACATGGAAAACATTCACAGCAATTAATTTAAAATATTTATATCGATATAATGTAAATTGGGAGGAATCGAAACAAAACTATATATAATAAATTATTTATTTTTATCTTAGAACAATTACAATGAATGGTATAGTAAGGTACAAAAGCACAATATATAACAGATAAAATTCATTTTTAAAAACTGTCAAATAAATATAAAAAAGTCTAACAACTCTAAAGCTGTAACACCACTGGACAGAGCTTGTCATGATGATATGTGTCCGTGGTGGTGACAAATGATTACCATTTAGCTTCACTTGCTATTCTAGTTAGATATATAAAAATAATACAGTAACTGTGATCCATACAATACTGGACAAAACTTGTATGAGACGAATACAAAATAATCATTCAGTAAAAAAATTATCATCACCAGTCACCAACGCGGATGTAATGCTCCGTCAATTATAAAAGTATTACCAAAATTGTTTTATAATTAACGAAGACATCGCCGATTGTGTGCAAAAAAGAAAAAAGTCATTACGATGCCGTAAAGTTTATGAGATAAAAATTACCTCATATCTTAAGTATGAAAAATAATGTACAGAAATAAAAGAAAATTACCTCCGGATTTTCCAATCAAAATAAAAATATATGCTGAAAACCAAATAATACAATAATTAATTATACAGCAGTTCATAATAAAAAAAAAACAAAAACTAATTAATTAATACTAGTGCGCTATCTAGTGCCCAAACAAAGTACTATAGTATATTTTTTTTAGTACTCCTATTACTCGTCAGATGGCAGAAAAAAAATATAATGTGATTTTTAATGAAAAACTACAAATATATATATTTTATTTAACGGTACTAAATAAACATTACTTATTATTTTCGAAATAATATTTTTAGAATGTTTTTCTACTAAATTTATCTAAATTTATCTAGTGCTTAATGTTTTGTACGCTTACTACTCCTATTTCCCGTCAGATGGCAGGACTGAACTATTATATTCTTGAATTAAATACTTTACTGATCTTAAGTAAAAATTAAACCGCGCTAAATATTGTAAAATATTATATTTGGCATAGTATACTTTTATTTTTGTTATTATTACATACCTTCTTATTTTTATATTTATTCTGTAAATTATTTGTTATGAGGGTTTGTTTATAACAAGAAACAAATATAATAACAAACAATAGAAAATTGCTGAATGACTACAATTAAGCGGTATCACAACCTTATCTACCTACTAAATATTTACAATTGTGTCAACCGAAAACCCATCATTCATCAGCTGCAAATTAATCAGTCTCAAGGTTATGGAGACCGCCATAGGAGTCTGTGTTGCCAGATGATAATTTTTTACACTTAGCCATTGCTATTTTTTTGCAGTTAGTGCATTTTTTAAAATATGTTAATCGAATGATCCACTCACCTGTGAAAACTGTATACACTAGCAAGACACGAGTTGAGGAAGATATAGGATGAGCTGAAGTTAGTAATCAGTCAGTTAGCCCATGGCAGTTAAATTATTGTGATGCTTATCAATGGAAACTGCGTCTTGGTCAGTCTGATGTAATATGCTCAATACTCAATATTTATTACATTCCATAATGCTGAATTTTATGGAAAATTATGGATGTAAATACACGGATGTTTATAATTGGTACATTTAAACCAATATGGACCTAGTTGGGGCCGGCAAACATACATAATATTTTTTTTTAATGAAAGTTCTTAGCCAACTTTTTTTTAATAGGTTGTTTTAGTCTTAAGGTTCTGGCAACACTGTCAAAAATAGTACACAGATACACTACGAACATTCATTCATATCGTGTCGAATATTGTACTGCTTGTAGATAACATTTGTCAAAGATAATTGAAAATACGCACTCTAATATTTTTACCAAATTGAATTCTGACTAATTCTCTTTATAAAATCTATAAAATCGAGTGCGAATTTTAACGTTAGTGAATATAGTTCAAATAATTTGAAACAGATGTCGCTGAGTCGTGTTTTGATCGTAAACCGGTCGTATCCTAATGCCGGTTTGGAATTATTAAAAACTCAGTAAGTACTTATACTAAGTGTATGTCACATTAATATAATCTGTGAGATCGTTAAAATATGATGTTTAATTTATTTATTCTATTGAGAACGTCGTGGTTATAGCAGTTTAACAACCCCACTTATAGATTTTAAATATCGCTACGTTAAATCTGGTTGAAAGTTTACATTTTCGATTAACTCTACAGTGACGGAAAACACCGTAAACATTCAAATAAATAAATAAGATGAACATGAGGTCAGGTCAGTTAGCCCGTCGTGGCATATTCACCAAGAATTTATCACGATTGTTTCCTGAGCAAACCGCGTGGAGGTCAACCTGAGATGATACATTGCTAGCGTCTGCCAATATGAAAAAACGGTCCTGAGAATGTATTTATATGTATATTTTTTTAAATATCAGTATACCTACAGATAGACAAGAAATACTAGAATTTATTTTATTTATTTCAAGCTAGTAGGCCCATATTATATATGCCTTATAGATATACATATGAATTAATATTGTAAAAGTAATATATTGATATATTGAAATTGATCCTGTGGTCACGGCACTGACAACGACAATCTGCCACGGTAGCGCTAATACACCACACCCTAATAAAATTAGACTATTATGTAGATAGATATTAATTTAGTTCAATAAGTCGTAAATACTAATATAGCTTTTTTTATAACACTTTCGAATTAATTTGACTGAATCATCATCATATTTCACATTTTGAGACTGGAGGTCTGGAGAACATACCTATCTTTTTAAATTATAGTCACACTGACAAAGTTGCGAGCAGAAGCTAGTGTTAGTTAAAAATTTATCTTTCCTCCATGACTTGCAATATTTTATACAAATACTTTGTTGTTTAAAACGTCAATGTGTGTGAATACGTGTGGTTATGTACATAGCTACCATTAACTAATGTAACTAAGCTTAATTAAGACAATATTCACTACACATGTTGCGTTGTATGGAGACATAATGTACTAAAATTACGTAATAGATACTTATACATAAATAATACACTCCAATTGCAGAGGAAATTATTAATAGAATTATTTTATTCAAATTGAGTATTATTTAAATACAAATTGAAGAGACTATTTCTTTTCGTTTGGTACTTTCGCAGATAAAAGCAAAAGGACTCAGTCTATACAGTCATTGTCTTCTGTAATGTTCTGATATTATATTTCCTTCAATTTATTGTCTTTAGATCATATCCAAATGGAATTGACAGTTAAATCGCAGAGTAACGTTTCCAAATTCAAATTTCCCGCCATATCATAATATTTTGTTACCCCTTTACACGCATAGTTCAAGAACAATAATAAATATTTGCTATCATTTTAAGGCGGATGTCGTATTTTATAATGACGTATTCAATATTGCAGAGTCCAAGCAACAGTATTGCCTTACTTGGATTACGAACCAGAATCATTGCAAGAAATAAAAAAAAACATCAAAGGAATTGACGGTCTGATATGGAACACAAAACATCGATTGACAGGAGAAATATTAGATCTAGCAGGTATGAAGTACTGAAGATTACACCGTACCATTCATATTTCCATACGAATATACATATCAAAAAAAGTAAAAACGAAGTGCAAGTGCCTGTTTTATGTTTGTTAATATTGAAATAACTGTTTTTTACTAAAGAGAGAGAGAGAAATATGAATATAAATACACCAAAAATACCACTTGAACCTTGAACCACGTGTGTTGTAGCAATTTGATTATTATGAAGTTAGCTACAAAGCCTGATAAATGTAAACATACACCTAATTTTTTTTTATTATAGGGCCACAACTGAAAGCTATATCATCAATGTCGTCCGGTCTGGACCATATTGACCAAGCAGAAGTGAAAAAACGTAAGATCCCCCTGGGGAACACACCGGAAGTGTTAAATGATTCTGTAGCAGATATCGCTGTTGGATTATTGATCGCTGCAGCCAGACGGTTTAAGGAAGGCGTGAGAGAATTAGAAAGGTAATGTTCAAGCACCTTTACCTATAATAAAATCTTAAAAAAATAGTGGGTACACACCTTAAGGTCTCAATCTTAATCATTACATAGTATAAACTAAAGTTGCTGTCGCTGTCTGTCCGTCCCTATGTATGCTTAAATCTTTAAAAGTACTCAATGGATTTGGAATTTGTTTTTTTTAATAGACAGAGTGATTCAAGAGAAAGGTGTATATAATACATGTACACCCGTGTGAAGCCGGGGCGAATAGCTAGTAATATTATAAACACGAAAGTTTGTGAGTAATGTATGTATGTTTGTTACTCTTTCACGCAAAAACTACTGAACGGATTTTGATGAAATTTTACAGTAACATAGCTTATGCATCAGAATAACACATAGACTTTTATATTGAAATTTAACGCTGATGAAACTGTGGGCACAGCTAGTATAATATATATAAATTAAAGCGATAGGAAAACATATCAAAATATTTTTTTAATTGCAGTGGCGAATGGAAATATGGAGCGAACTGGACGGTGGGACGAGATATCGTTGGTAGTACTGTAGGTATCATAGGACTTGGGGGCATTGGTCAAGCTATAGTTAGGAGGCTGAAGGGTTTTGACGTTGCGAGATTCGTTTACTGCGGCCGAAGTGACAAGCCTGAAGGTAAGATTTCACTCTCAATCTGTGAACGCAACTTCGTCTGCATAACGACTGCAAAACTTACTTGTCATTCAGAGCCGTCTTTCACCTATTAGAGACCCCTATGATCATAATAATAAAGCACTATTTTGTTAGAATAGACAAAGTCATTTTTGAACAATACTACCGTGGAATGGCCTACCTTCAAAATAAACCAAACAAAAATAATTTTAAAAAGTCGATATGTTTAAGATCTTGCTAGATATTTATAAAAAAAATAACAATAACGAGCAAATTGACCATAGTCGGTAAGCATTTATTAGGATTGATTGATTTATTTCAGGCGATAGTAGCGTAGCTATCGGTTATCGTTTGGTAATGAAGTAGGGACTAGACTAGAGTAGGGGGCCCTAATCCATTGCGGCGTGCCTAGCACGTGCCCAGTATGTCCAGTGGGAAAGAGTTGTCATTTATCGTTATATTTCGTCCCCCAATTTACATAATATCTTTTTAAATTATAGCCTATGTGTTATTCTGGTGTATTAAGATATATTACTGTAAAGTTTCACTAAAATCCGCTAGAAAGAGAAATATCTACTCATCCATCCATACTCATAAACTTTCGCGTATAATACTCATAAGAATTTAGTAAGATTTAACTGACTACGGTAACGCGGCAAGAGGTATAAACTCATTTTCATGATACTAATAAGGGCAATCATTTTTCAGCAAAGAAACTAAATGTTGAACGGTTGCCACAAGAGCAGCTGTTGAAGGAGAGTGACTTCGTAATCCTCGCGTGCCCCCTCACCAGTGAGACCAGGTACATCATCAACTGTGCTGCACTCAGGACCATGAAGAACACCGCCGTTTTAGTAAACATCGGCAGAGGGGGTAAGTCTGAATTCATTGAAATTTTATAATTAATACTACCAGAGTAGGGTTGCCACCCGTACTTTATAATAAAGTATTGTACGTTATTTCAGGTAATTGTACTCTATGCTTTATGTGAAATAATAAAGTATAGGAAAATGCTATATTTCGCATGTTTTGATTTCTTTGGGATTTTAAAATATATAGTCGTATATATCTTTCCATTCAACGAAATTTATCGATAGATTGTAATATGCTGTGCAATTATTCAGTAGAGATACTAATTTGATACAAACTGCAAAACGCAATAAAAATATGTTTTTTTAAATGTAATAATAAAGAAAAATAAATTGTACCATATTTTGATATTATGTACTTTTTTTCTTACCTATGTACTATAACCGCAAAAAAAGGTGTCAACCCTGTACCAGAGGTAGACTGCAAAAAGTCGTCTGCGTGGTTAAATCCGTCTCATGCATTTCGACCGTCAAGCAGCTTGCTTTGTAAGCTGTTTCGGTTGTCCCTCTGAATCGCAGCTAACTTTCACTATCCTTCATAATTCAACTTTCTAGACCATCTTAAAACCATCTTAAAAGGAAAATTGACGAAAACAGCATCTGGCGCGGGGTTTATAACAAATAAACCATAGTGATATATTAAACTATAATATGGACTAATAACTCCATTGCTAGCAATGTACCATGCCAGGTTGACATACACATAGTTCCCCTTGAAAACCACCGTGATAAATTCATGGGAAATTTGCCACGATGGGCTAACTGGACTGATCTTTTACTAGTACCCCGCAGGAGTATGTACCATTCCATGCTCATCAATTATATAAAAAAATATAAAATAGAAATAATCTTTATTCAAATAAACTTAATATACACTTTTGAATAGTCACATTTTTTTATTCTGCCTCTCATTCGGAATGCAGACTCATCACAATAAGAATAAGCAAGAACTTGTGTGTTGCTCTTCTAAATAAATAAGTACATATTAAACACAAATATATTAAAACCTCGCAATTAAGCACAGTCAAATTACATAGACCTGCTATAAGGTTTTGCAATTTGTTACAGTAAACACTTATTTGTTATAATTATAAATACGTACAATTGGTTATTTTTAAACTTTCATGTTTAATATACATCATTATCATTACAGAGTATAAAACAAAGTCGCTGTCGCTGTCTCTCCCTATGTACCATATGCTTAAATCTTTAAAAATACGCAAAGAATTTTGTAGCGGTTTTTTTAAATATATAGACTGATACTAGAGAAAGGTTTACATATATAATACATGTACACCCGTGCGAAGCCGGAGCAAGTAGCTCGTTATTTATATATTATTAACCGCAACTTAACACGACAACGTTGCTGTAGCCGTGGTCAACTCGTGACAAGGCTACTGCAACCTAATCGAAACGTGAGAGATAAATACCTTTATTTGCCATAAAATGATTCGTGTTAAGACCCGGTTAATAATATAAATATTGTCACTTTAATAATAATAATAAAACTCTTTATTTATCGTGCGTAAAAAAGGAACAACTAATTACAAAAAAGAAAAATATGCAAACAAAAGGTGGCGAAATCGCTCAAAGCAATCTCTTACAGATTTTTCTCAATCTATTACAGACAATTTTACTTTTTATTCAAAACGTAAACACTAGATTACCACATTCAAACAAACGACAACTTTTAATATGTTTTTTTACAGAACTAATAGATCAAGAAGCATTGTTTGAAGCTCTTCGGGAGCAATTCATATTTGCGGCCGGACTGGACGTAACTACACCGGAGCCATTGCCCAAAGAACATAAGCTGGTCTCCCTCCCCAACTGCTGTTAGTACTCTCAGATATGAGTAGTGTAATAAAAATAATATGATAAAGTTATAAACAAATGATAGGAACATATATCTAATATACATATTTTAAGACGTTTTCTAAACCTTGACAAAGGGAGTTTTAATATATATATAATATTATAAACACAAAGAATGGATGTTTGTTCCTTTCTTGCAAAAACTACTGAACCGATCATCATGAAATTTTGTAATATAGTTCTTAGCATCAGAATAACACAGGCTATATTTTTTATTGGAATAAAAAACATGCGGTTGAAACCGAGGGTAAAAGCTAAAAGTAATATTATAAACGCGAAAGTTTGTGAGTATGGATGTTTGTTACTCTTTCACATAAAAATTACTGAACGGATTGTGATGAAACTTTACAGTAAGACGACTTATAAATTTTTGTTTTTGTAAATACATCAGAATAAATATATATAGTTATTCTATATATATTTTATATTACTCATGGATACAAATATTTGTAAAATAGTATACATCGAAAAGAATCCTGTGCTAACATATAAATAAAATCGGAGTGTCTGTTTGTAACAATTAGTAATAAAATCCACTTTTTTACTAAAAAAACAAATTCATATGAATTTCATAAATTCCACATTATGGGCAGTTCATAAACACAAAATAACATTTTTACTATTTTCGTCTGTCTGTTTGTTCCGGCATAAAATTTAAAACTTGTGTTATTTTAAGTAATAGTAGTAAAATTTTATGAAACCCAATCTTTTGTTAGTTTTATTCGTTCTTAGAAAATATTATTACATTAATAAGCGTTTATAAATAATTCCATTTTCAGGAATTAGAGGGCTACTTTAATTTTTCAAACGAAAAATTATGTTAAAGGTTCCCACTAGCGGTGCCCTCACGTCGTATCCGTCGGCAGTGTTGGTAACCGCTCCACAAGTTCTTGCGCAGGTTTGTATATAATAGATCGTCCAGTGATACAAATGCCAGCTGCGGTCAAGAGCATTAGAGAAGTCCGAAAAAAAAGTATACATATATACACGCATGTATCTATGTAATAATAATAATAACAATACCCCTCGATAATTCACACAACGCTAATAATCCTGGACAAACCAACCCTACAGAAAATCTCGTTCGAACTAGGGTTCATTTCCAATTCCCGGGAAATCGTTGGAGTTTTGTTCCCGTTCATGAGAAAAGTCGAGAACTAAAATCAACGGATATAAATTAAATTGCCGTTTTTTTAGTGGCGGCGCAAATACATACATTAATATATATGTTTATATAGATTTTTTCTAAATAACCAGCCAAAAATGGTGCTCATTATAAATATAAGTCAATAATATTAGGTCCTAATATATGAAAGTTGTTTTGTAGCGTGCCTGAAGTATTTTTTTTTCAAAATATAACATGTTTATTTAATCAAACTATGTACCATTGCTATTTATGCACTTTTGCCATCTCATAGGTACTTCATTGATCCCTTTACTGAAAAAAACATTTGAACGGGAGCATTTGGACATAATAAAACCTTTGGACTTTGGACACTTCGGATTTGAATTTTTTCCCAATCAATCCAAATTTCAAATTCAAGATAATTGAATCTTAGACATTAAATTGAATCTCTTCAATTTGGTAAATGTTATGTGCAGTGTGTGGTCTAGCGTTGTCCTGAAGCAGCAGTAGCCTACGGCGATTGACCACGCCTCGGTTGTTTAGCAGCTAGCTTTTCCATTATAGTTTCTCAATTGCTGACAACACACATCCCGTAATCATCTGACCAGATTTAAGAAAGCTGGAACAACACCGGAACTAGTCCACTAAACGCTCGCAAGTAACTTTTTTTCATTTTGCCAGGGTTCAGCCATTGCGATGAGCGTTTCCAATTATCATACAAGATCCACATCATCACAGGTAAATTCGATTTAAAACTTGTATTATTATGCCGGTTTAATGTAACGCAGCAGTAGCGCGTTTGTCGATCGAAACTCAATTCATGAACCCACCTTTTAATTTTTCTCCCAATTTGTTAGTTTTATTCGTTCTTAGAAAATATTATTACATCATAATAAGCGTTTATAAATAATTCCATTTTCCAGAACGAAAAGGTAGAAAAATGTATTGTGTTTTCTTTTGCGACACCACCATCCATACACATCCGATTAATCCTTCGAGCCGTTTCAAACCATGGCGGATCGTACTTGTACTTGTAAATGACGCGATATTTTAGGTTTTCTATTTTGTAAGCTGAGTGACCCATAGAAAAAACCAAGCATATGTATTACGGTTTTCGAAAAACAAATGCATGAGTAAATAGCTGTATAAATTTGAAATTGAAATTTCTAACCAAAGAGGAGATATTTAAGATCAAAGTGGCCAGTACGACAAAACGCTAATTTCATATGTAAGAACCTAATATATTTCAGTATTTAAAAAAAAATGCCATCTGTATAATGTTTTTAAATATACCTACTCAATAAAAGTTTTATAATTAATTTTATAGTTAAATTTATATTTAATATTTAACTAAATGCAGCTGCGTCCAAGAACAAATAATATGAGAAAACGTACGTAAATGTAAATTTCTCGACAAAAAAAATTATACATATATACAGAAATCAAGCCCTAGTGTGATCTATATTCAATAATAATACATAACAATTTAATCATGGTAACTCAGTTGAGAGAAATTCGAAAGTTATATTCAATTCCAACAATTCTTTCTGTGAGTTGGCAGTGTTGTCAATTTGACGGATAGCGTATATGTCCGTTTTAATAAAACTGTAATGTATGTTCGATATACCCCAAGGCCCTTGGTTACCTAACTACGCCACTGTCACAACATCATCTAGTCCCAAAGTAAACAGAGCTAGTGTTATGGATACTAAACAACTGATATACATACTAAGTTATATTTTTTTGTAAATACATAATATTGCCGCATGGTGATAAGTCCGCCAAATGTACTGTACTATATTTTGTATTCTGTGTATTGAAGTTAAATAAATAAATATACATAGAAAATACCCAGACCGACACAAACAATCTTACTCGGGGACTATAGATACAGTTAGTGATAAAAAAATATAGTGGCCTGAAGAAGTCATATAGGAATATTTTTTATTTATTACTACAATAACTATAACTACTACTGTTCGTATTACTACTGTTCGTATATATAGTAGCATGAAATTACAAAACATAATTAGGCTGAATACTATTAAACTACTTATCTGTCAGATTAGTCACACATACAAATTTTTCCACCAAGTGTTTCTAACTTGGTCTCTATTTCAAATCCATAACAAAATGGACAACAAAATCAGATTTACGCAATCTGTCACACCAGAAAAGAAAGCAAGAATGGGATGTTGTTATCTTGTACCAAGTAAAGACGCGCATCGCATATTTCGAAGCAATTACAAACCATTTGGGACTAATATTATTTATTTCATATTTCATATCTTTGACATCATTTCACTCGTTCCCGTTACATGAACTTTTGCGGCAGAGAAAAAAATTCAGTGAATCGTCTTTTAAAACTTACGTTTACTTTGCATAAGGAAACCAGACTGATTTGAGCCTACCTTATTAGATATCAAACAACTCAAAAATGTAAATAATTTCTGTCTGTACATGGAAGATATATGAGGAAAACTAAAATTAGACAAATTTTGTGTTATTTATTATAAAAATTTTATTCTCTGTTTGTCTGTCTCAAAATAAATGTTGTTCAACATATAATATTATCGAAGTTAAAAAATGAAAAAATACTTAAAAAGCATCAGGTAACTACTATGCCCAAACAGATACGGGGCAGGGTAATGGAAAGGAACGGGTTACATTTTGGAAATACTCGGAATTAATGATCATGGATTTTAATGCTTCTTGCCAAAAGAAAAAAAATAACGACTAGTTGCTAACCGAGACATTTTATCATGATTCAGACGTTACGTATCCAATGTCAAATATCTAATCAAGTTACCTATCAGAATCTTAGCTGATAACGATTTTAATTAAATTTCATTCAAGAATTACTTTTTCTCCTAACGAGATGATTAATAATGCTGTACAAGTAATAAAAACTTCATTCTACTCTATAAATACTTTACACAATGTAAAAAAACGAAAACTTGTTCAGTTAATGCTATATAAAGTCGATAACCGGTAATATTCTCCCATTCTGTATAAACCTTGACGATACTACAAATAGTACAAACTCGACATCTCGAGCGATCGTAAAACGCGATATGCTTTGGTTTTGGGCAGATAACATAAAACAATGAACAAATACTTATTATCTACAGTGTTGGCGATATATTCGTCTCTATTGCCAGTAGTGCTTAGTGATAATACTACAATGACTAAACACCTGAAAGTGTTAGTATCTAGCAATGATTTGCCTGCGAGTGGTTTAAAACTTCTTCAGGAACAGTAAGTAATTATTTAAAATTGTTATCTTCAAATTTGTTGACCTTTATTAATGATTAAAATACGGTCGTTTGTTAGTAATGTTAGCGTGATGTAATTTGTAAATAAATCGTGTTAGCACGTGACATTCGTGTGTATTGTATAGTATTATTATATAACTATATATATATGTATATACACACGATGCTAGCTAGTAAAGGTTTGCTGTTCTTTGGAAATATGATTATAAGATCGATCGATACATTGTTAGAAAACAGAATTTTGCGCATATCACTCGCTAATAACTAAATCTATCTACTCTTATTAGTGTAATACTATTTTTCGAGTGTATCCATAACTCTCTTTTATATTAGTTTAGATTTGATTGAATCGTAGAGGTATTTTGGAGTCATTAATGTAGGAGAAATAAGAATTGACTAACTACTTTATTTTTAAACTACCTACAGGTATCTATAAAATGTAAACCGTTTAGACGGTATCAAAAATTAAATGTTTAATTAATAATTTCTTGTAACTTTGATTGAATATTGAATAATGGAATAAGGGTTTATAATTAAAGGAACATACATTTTCAAATATTTTGATTCCATACTAATACTATAAATTCCTAGTATAAGTTTATACGGTTACAAGATAGACCGGACCTTATTGAAATTCAATGTGAAGATAAATTGTATCAAGTAGATCAACTACAATACGTTTTATTTTTTTAAAAAGCAGACGAAGTACCAGGTATCTGCTACAATATAGCATATATAAGAAAGAAAGCTACTGAAAACGACAGACTTCTGGTTATAACCAAGAATTCGAACCATACCTACCTCCAAGTTATAAATGATAAAAATACAGGTCATGTTTTATTGTAATAGATTAACTAAAAAATATTCCTTCTTTTATTATTATTTCATATATTGAAGTTATTTTTAATTTTTAATTATATATACTTGCAGAATGTAAGATTAATTTTTTTTTGATCTTATAATATTAATGTGGAAAACATTACATTCTGCAGGTAAATATAATAAAAATAAATAATATTATAGACAGACAGCAACGCGAATAGTAACCAACCACGAAGAATCGGACAAGCGAACATCGAAACTATTGCTGGATCACCAAGGGATCATTAAAAAAATATAATCCCAAATTTTTCCAGTTTCACTGTAGTACAAAATCGCTTCTCGTACTACGGGGATGATGAAAAGGCTGAAAGTGAGGAAGAATGCTTGAAACTCGTCCCCGGGTGTTCTGCGATAGTATGGGCCTCGGGTCATCCCATCACTGATGAGCTGTTGGATAAAGCAGGTACAGTGTTATACACAGTAGTCTAAGTGTAGGTACATACTAAAAATTACCGTGGGTAGAATAGATACTACCCACGGTAATTTTTCTATACCTAGCTTTATCATGGTATAGTTGGAATTCTTAAAGGTATCAAGCCATACATGACCTCCATATGTCGTTGTTTAGTAACAAAAACCCTTAATTTAATTTAAAGTAGCTGAACCCGCGGACTTCTTTCCGCCTCAGAATTAAATTATATGTCAAAGATTTTTACAAGTATGAAGTAGAACTCAATAGGTTGGATGTGATAATAAAATTGTTGTAAAATTACTATTTTCCATGTAATTTCTTCAGATTCTACCACCTTCCTTGAAATTCTACAAATATTTCAAAACCTAAATTAGCCAAATCGGTCCAACCGTTCCCGAGTTTTAGCGAGACTAACAAGAGTCATTTCTTTTTTATATATAAGATAATAACAAAAAGTATTGTTACCATTTCTAGTATAATATAAATTAAGTAGGTATAAAGCACTTTTAAGTAGTAGATTTTTGATTCAACTGTTGGGTTGTAGTTTTATAGGTTATGTATTCTTTCTAGTTAGATGCCGTTGTCTGTCTTATTAGCAGACAAGCGGCATGGTTAGTAAGCTGTTTCGATTGAAGTTCTTTTTTACATAGAAATATTCGAATGCTGTTGGCAGAAGCTGGCCTGGCCAGCTTCACGGAACGGTAGAGAGCGAGTGCCAATCCAAACCCGCGGAATTTCTTATGGAGCGGCTGAAAGCCAACTCCTGTCTAACTTTGAGGCAGTAAAGTTCGGAGGCATATCCATAGTGGTGTTCAGAGATATAGAGGAGTGTTGCGACTCTGCTATCAGGTGAGCTTTCAGCTCCTTTCACATTTTAGTTACTTGAATAAAACTGACGATATTCAATATCTATGCTTGTAATCATATATATTAATTTTTATATATATAGTAATAACCCTGGACAATTAATTAAAAACACAGCGCCAAATGGACCCACGGCAAGCAGAGCTGTCTTATACGTACTAGACAACTGATATAAATAGTTAATTTTATTTTATATAGGTATATACACAATATACATAGAAAACACCCCGAACGATAAAAACAGTAATTCATACTCATTAATACAAATGTTTGCACCGTGCGAGGAACCCGAGACCATCAGAAGTAAAGCGGTGTTCTTAATCGCTAGACCACCGAGGCCGTGAATCGTGCGTCCGCTGTTTTACTTTTGTACGTACACAATAGTTTCTTTTAATTATAACTTTTCTTTACAATATGCTTATGTTTACAGGACCAAATCTGAAAATAGTGGCAACGACATCAGCAGGGTACAACCACTGCAATGTTGAGGGTCTGAAAGCGAGAGGCATCAAGTTAACTAACACACCGGGTGTACTGAGTGCGGCCGTCGCCGAGATAGCCGTCACCCTCATGCTGGTAACTGCAAGACGGTTTCCCGAATGGTTACAACAAGTTGATAGGTATGTTTAATTAACGCAATCAACTTGTACTGTTGTTTTTTTTTATATACTAATATTAATATTACCATAGCTTATGGACGCCTGAGACACCAGGGGGGTCGGGAAGGCGCACGTGTGTGCGCCTTCCCGACCCTTAAGAAACCTTAATATATCCTTCTTGAAAAACCCTATGCTGTAGTCTCGGAAAACCTCGGCAGGCAGTTCATTCCACAATCGTGTACGCTAATATGTCAGATGAGGTGTCAGATCCATTTTTTTAATTATTAATAATGACCATTCCAATATATCCACCTGGGCTAATAGTTTACGTTGGCGAGACACCAGTGGAAGATGATAATATGAGAATGAAGTTAGGTCAGTTAGCCCATCCTGACAAATTTATCTCGATGGTTTTCTGATGCATTACTTACTAAAAATGGGGTCACTAGTTCCCATTACTAACAATCTCTCTTCTCTCTGTCAGATCCGTCAACGTTATGAATAACGCGACACTCGACTTGCCCAAATTTCACTGCAAATATTAGAGAGCCTTTTAATATATTTCATTTGTATCGATGTATCTATCGTTAGAGAATCAGTTGTAAAAAAACTTGGTAACATAACATAACTCGGTAATATACCGACACAAAGTCTTTTTAATGATGGTTAGCTTTGACATTACAATCTTTGGGTCTAAGGACGACGTTCTCAATCTTATTTTAGTGGCAAATGGGTAAATGGTCTCGACAAATTCCTGGGTAAGGACATACGCGGGAGCACAGTGGGCATCGTCGGTTTCGGTGGTATTGGACAGGCTACAGCCAAACGGCTCGCTGGTTTCGAAGTTGCCAGGATCATTTATAGTGGTCATAGAGAAAAGCCAGAAGGTACGTAATTGGTATAAATTCGCGGGAAATTATCCTTCAAAGTACTGTAAGACCTCGCTTAACATTGTTTCGATTTAGCGCTCCTATATTTCCGGGGGATTCGGAACATAACGGAAAGACGTCGAGGAAATAGTTCAAGAAACAGCAGCTAGTCTTTCTAATAATGAGCTCAAGGAATTAACTGAGCAAGAAGAGAACAAAAATATTGGAAGTAGTGATTCCGAAGAAAAGAAAGGAGATTGCGTCGTCTAACGCTGTTTTGTTTAAAGCTGGAGCTTATATGAAAGTATCCCTCGTGCTAAGCGGGGTCTTACTGTAATTGTTACTCTGCGTCAGGCTAATAGAATACAAAATGAGCACGGATTTATTATACTAATTGTTTCCCCGTCGTTTTCATGAGTATTTACCATTAACAATTACCGTCCCATGATAAGCAAAGCTTGTGTTATAGCTACTAGACAACTAATATATTTTTTGTAAATACATAGACAACACCCGGACCGTTACAAACAATCGTACTAATGTGTACAAATGTTTGTAACGTGCGAGGAATCGAACCTGCGACCATCGGAAGTAAAGTAAAGCGGTGGAGGTTAAACGGTTAATACCACCAAATATTATAATACCACCAATAAGAATAGCCTAGCCTAGTTGACTAGATTTAAAAAATTTAAACAATGCTTAAAAAATACCTACTAGCCTATTCTAATTCTACTAATTTTTACATATATTCTAATTTTTTGTGTTTTATTTTCATCTAAGTACTAAATTTTTAAGCACTCCTATCCATTCCATTTAATCTGAGTGGGCACAGCCTTATATTGTCAGATCATGTAAGATCTCGATGTGATCACAAAATTACCTATTACCAATTTAATTAATAGAGACGGAGCACTAAATCTAACTAACTTAAAAAATGAATAATTTCTAGGAAAAGTACTGGGAGCCGAATTTGTGTCACAAGATGATCTCCTCAAAAATAGTGACTTCGTTGTTCTGGCCGCTCCATTAACTGACCAGACCAGGCACATGATTAACCAAACTACACTGGCGAAGATGAAAAAGAATGCTATAATCATTAATGTTGGTCGTGGAGGTAATTGATTTTTTTTTTAATTGCATTAATTATATTCCGCATTTATGAACGTGTGCCATACAGCCCATGAATTCTCTGACAATGCTAACTTTTTATATAATAGTATAAAATTTTGAAATTGTTTTTTTTTTATAATTATCATTGTCAAATTATTATATACTTGCATTCTACTGCGCTGTCCGCGTGACCTACAGTCCTTACATATAAATACACACTGATAAATGTAGCTTATTAATCTTTTTTTATTACAGCTTACGTGTATCAAATAAACATATATTTTTTTCTTATTATTAAAATAAAACTAAGTACTACAAACTGTATTTAGCTATATAATTTTGTTTTAGATCTCATTGACCAAGAAGCTCTGTACGAAGCGCTTAAGAACAAAGATATATACGCAGCAGGCCTCGACGTCACCACACCAGAACCCCTGCCGCCAGATCACAAACTGTTAAAACTTTCTAATGTCTGTAAGTAACTCTTTTATGTAACTGCGATGCATCCGCGGATCATCGTTTTTTCGAGATGGGGCAAGAACTAAATATTGCCGCTTCCCTAATACTCCCCCGCCTTATCCTTATCTCCTTATCCGGCTAAATATATTAATATTTAATTTGACCAATTAGTATTGTGGCTTTTCTGACAGTTATATCTTAATTTTCAAATGCATTGAACACAACCAATTTACTCGACGACCCTCTGTCATTGGTCAATTTGTCAAAGGTGTATCATAAAATAAAAAAAAGCATATACTTAAATGTATTTACATTAATCTATATTTTCTTTTGTTCAGTCGTGACCCCCCATATTGGCAGTGGAACGGAGCGAACACGCAACGAGATGTCCATACTGGCGGCAACGAACGTCATCAATGCTCTCACTGGAAAACCTCTCGTTACACCTGTGTTGCCATAGTAATCGTACATCCGTCTCTTAAATTATTATTTATGTTATAATTAAAAATAATTAATCTCTATGCATATATGTAAAATCACTAATTTTACTATAGACACTGGGTAGAATTTCTAAATGTGTGGATACCTCAGGCTCACCTATTTAAGCCGCCAAGCAGCATGCTTTATGAGCTGTTTCAATTTAAGGATGAGATAAGACTGTGAAATTACAGGGTTAAGAGGTGTGACATCTTGTTTTAGACCTCCTGAACACATTAGTAATGTCGGCACCACATAATAACCTTTGTGCTGTTCATGTATTTTGGCGTTCTATTTGCCATTCCAATAAAAAAAAAAATCTGCTGTTAGCATAACCACGCACAATGTTTTAGTAAGAATAAAAAACTTATTATAATATAAAATAGACTTTTCTTTAATAAAAATCCCTTACATACAGAATTTAGAATAAACAGGTTTAATATATACAAAATTAACATTACCTAAACATAATAATATATTTAGTAATTAAACATTATAATGATTATTGTGCTAACTGTATATTATTATATTGTATGTAATTAATATTGGACTTATGGTACAATTAAGACCCAGAAGTACATTATTAATCTGTATTTTAGTAATATACAGAATAACTTTGAAATTTGTCATATACTAGAAACACTCAATTTTATATGTACAAAATTGGAACCCTAATGGATACTCTATTAGGGTTGCAATTTGTGACTGAAAAAATCCTCTAAGGTACAAATCTGCTTTTGTAATACTTGTATTATGACTACATACTTTTTACATATATTTGAAAGCTACCATTCATACATCAACAGTACAACAAACTAAAACAAGCAGTTAACATACATGGGAAATGCAGCTTACAAATAATGTTAATATGTTGAGGTACTATTAAGAGGCCTTTCACATTTTTTGGCGTAAAAGCGGGGTCTTTGGGGTTCTGGTTCTAAGAAATTAAGAGTCGGATATACATTTTGATTCCTGAATTATATAGATAGATATCTAATCTTAAAAACAACATCTTTGAAATGTTAATTTTCTCTTTGTTAGTCTTCCTAATTTCTAAAATAGTTTATTCAAAAACGCTAAATGACAGAAGTTTGGGGTCGTCGTTCATTAATAAACAAACATAAATTGATATGATATCTGTACTAAAACTTGATAATTACTTTATAAATTGAGACAGCATCGTCCTTTTTTTTTCATTTTCAACTTAAATATCTAAAAAATTGATCATAATGAAACCCGAAATTTCAACAAAACTTTGCCATAATCATTTCTAATTTTCTCATAAATACAACGAAATTTTTGCATAAAAAAAACATAATAATAAAGTTAATATACTTGTAAATTAGAAATATAAAAAAAAAATATAAGTTTCTAAGAAAAAAATAAACAATAATAATAATTGAAAGTTGTATAAATTCCGTTGCGCCAAAAGTAAATTCTCAGTGCTGCGCTAGCGCTCGTCGAGGTAGGACCTATGCTATTTTTTACGACACCGCTACGATAAGACATTCGTAAACATTTGTCAGTGAACATTAGTATAGTGCGACTAAACAATTTTGATAATTTAAGTAATATTTAATTAATTTTGCTAATATATACTTATTTCTACGAATATTAATTTAAAGTTGTTGTTAAATATATATATAATATTTATTTTAGCATGCCAAAACAAAAGTACAGTTATGCTACAAATAAAACCTACCTACCCTGCTGCACTATAAAAAGCACAAGAGCATGGTATTTCGTCACACTAATGGCAATTAATTGTTAAAATTAAAAAAGAGAACATTTTAGTATTTTTAAAAATAACGCTTATCTGAGAGAAAAATGTAAGGAAATGTAAACCAATTTTACTTTATGTTTATTTTGTAGTTTTTTTCTAAATTAAAATAGGGTTATTGTTTATAAAAATACCATTATTATTTTTACGTACATTTGTCTTGTGTTATATCATCTAGTATGCAATGTGGATTGTAAATAAATTACCAAATTATATATAAATTATATTCCTTAATGTTTAGAGATATTTTATCCAATTTACTTTATTTTATTTTACACAATACAGATACATATTTCTAAATTGCAGCCATTCTGTTATTATACTCGTTGGACTTTCATTACTGTACAGTTATGTCAAATAATTATGCGTGTTTGGGTGAAAAGTCAACATTATAAATGTTTTTATTTAGAGACTAGCTTTTAGCTCGCGGCTTCGCCCGCGTGAATATGGGATATATAGGTTATCGCGCGTTTAAAGATCCGTGTACAGTATTGGGACGTTATATATAAACCTTCCTCTTGAGTCTATCTATTCTGTTAACAACGAATCAAAATCTGCGTAGTTTTTTAAGATCAAAACATACATAGATCTATTACATGTGTAGATGATATTTTAACTTTAAAATGGTATTGGCAGATCAGTTGGAATCGTCGGTATTCTTGGTATATGAGCTGGTTGCCCAGCTAACGTACCGGTTTTTTTTTTTACGGATGATAATGGAATGGTGCACCCGCCTGCGCTAACGGTGTACGCTGGCGAGCCACCAGTGGAGGATGATAAGATGAGCATGAGGTCAGGTCAGTTCGCCCAACGTGACAAATTCGCCGGGAATGTATCACGATGGTTTCCAGGGGGAACCGCGTGGAGGTCGACCTGACATGGTACATTGCTAGCAATGGGGTTATCAATCCACATTACTAACAATCCCCTTCCCCCCTAACGTACCGGTTATAATGGTCTACAATTAAATTGTCTTTCAATTCTTTAGTAAGCAACATATCCAATGGGACGCCATTGCACATGTTCGGCGGGCTTAAACTTCATGATTGGAGCATGCTTTTGAGAAATTCCTTCCTCAAGTTTGAGCAGTTAGTGTGGGAAATCACTATCTGTGCTTCCATAAAAATGGGTTCTCAAATTTGTCAGTAGTTTTAAACTTTCAATTAAAGTCCATAAGGGAGACGATGTTAATGACACAGAGAGTCTTTCAGAAATCTCCAGCAAAAGTATAAAAGTAATCCCGCCAATGAGAGCAGAGGTGTTTCTAAGGTCTTTTAAGGTTCTGTCCAAAGTCTCTATAGCTCATGGAGATTTCATTCCATATAATCAATGAGGCGTCTTGTAATAATCTATAAAAAGTTTTGATATTAACATGTAATTATTTATCATGAATCAAGAATCGGCCAACCAAGAACGAGAAGCTGCAATATCAGCCAATCATGCGGCGACGTCAATGATGCAGGAACAGCAATGATAGCAGTTGAAGGTTTTTTTATACAACTTAGAATGGCAAACAAGCTGACGGCCCTCCATGCATTGCCATTCCTGAGAATGTGATGTTTTATTCCTGAGGTGTTATTCCCCTGTACCCTGTAAATTCACTGCCATATATATACACAGATAGTCTATATAGATAGGTATGCATATACACAGATAGTATACCCTGAGAAAGGTCATAGACTACTTTATAGTGCGAAAAAGAATTGTAAGGGATTGAAAGCTGAGATGAAAGGTTGTATAAAAGTATCATCATTGTTTAAGTGAAACAATGAAACTTTTTTGGGTTATAATCTAAATATATTTCCTTTATTTGGTCAATTTCATTATACCACGTTGACGAAGTCGCGGCCACATCTAATATACATATAAGGATGGGAACTTTAAATCGAAATAAAGCCATGAAAACACAACTATTATATATAAGTAAAATAATTATTTGCCTAAGTTTAATATTTAGAACAAGTGAATATGGCAATAATGCATCCGACTCTTATAATAAATTATCTTGTATTTATTAATAAATAAATTTAATTAATATATAATAAGAATTAAATAGTACATTTATGTTATAGTAATTTCATCTTCCTGTCCTTATCCCAATTATTTGTTACTCATATTACTTAAGGTTTTGGCTTTTAGTTATACAATCGGCCAGCATCCTGACTTCAACCCTCTAGGAATAATATAATAAAAAAATATGGTCATTATTAGCACTTTGATAATTAAGATAAATCACGTTATTTAAAAAAATCCAATAAATAGTTTATGATACTCAGTTAAGTAAAAACATATTACATTATTAATTAAAATATTACAAGGATCAAAATGGTTCATACTAAATCCACACCGATTGAGCTACACGTTTATTTGCGTCTGTGTGCGTGTATTACTGTATGTGTGCGTAAATCCATACGATTAAACCTAAAGTTGAGCGGCATCATTTTGTAATAGTCCTCTTAACAAGTAGATAGGAGAATGTGTGATATAAATTCAATAATCTATTATATATTACAGATTATTTAATGAGTTCAATAAAAATTAGCAAGTACTTCATCCTTAAAACATTACATATAAAATTGGATTTCTGTAAAATCCTGTTTGAAATGAATAAACTCCTACATATAAATGATCAAATACATCTACATACTATATAGTGATGTAGTAGATGTATTTCAAATTCATTTGTATTCAATAAAGTTGGATGAATTTAATGTCACTGTTGTATGTCACTGACTCTACACAATTAATAAAATATACATAAACACAAAAATTCCAAATTTTTGTAAATTCTTTAAAGTGGATTTCCCAAAATGTCTATTTTTTTTATGTTAACGCAATATTATATTAGATGTTCAATATATAGATTACATATATTTAAGTAATCTGTATTTATATTTATTATATCTGTATACATATTGATTATACTGATTTACTATAATAAAAATTAGACTATAGGTGGTAAGAATTAAAAAAAAGCTCTCTTAACATCTCAAGTTTATAAGTTGACTTCTCAATAATGACTGTTATTTCTTAACCAGTTAAGTATAAAATTAAAAAAGTTATGGTGCATCAGCCACCACAGCCGCTAAATCCTTCAGGAAAGGTTCTATTTGATTCTCCAATGATAGTATATGGCCTGTGTTACAATTGTCACTTCCTATAAAGGTTATGACTAATGGTAATTTATTCATTTGTATTACCTGAAAGAAGAAATATGATAATTATACAAAGTAATATCATATTCAGTTTTTTATAATTAAATTATATTTATATACAGTGAATTTGATAATAATGAAAATGGAGATACTCTTAAATACCTTAAGAGTATCACATTCATTCACATTCACATTCAGTATAATTGTCAAAGCCAGATAGAATATGAATGACTTTTTTTTTTATGTTAAACCACACAATTTAATGCTAATGTGTTTAACTTTTGCATAAAGGTTTGGAAATATATTTTTAATTGTCCACTTCACTGAAAAATTCTTTATTAGGTTTAATAAATATTATATTTCTACAGCTTTCAGCTACAATGGTGACGCCCTATCCTATTTATAATTTAAAACACTTATTTTCCCTCTGTTTGATGCTACTTATACATACTTCTCTATCTCTCCACTATAACAGTTTTTACACTAACAATAAAAACTAGAACCAGTAACAAAATTAACGCACCTGATAACTTGAGTACATAGAAATAATTGTCTTATTTCTTCCTAGTCCTAACTTGCTTGCTTGATCTGTGGCCATGCCGAAAGTAGATATGAAATTTGGCCGTAAAGCCAATTGAGGGGCCCTTTCTGTTACAGCTCGAACCAATGGAACTCCATCACGGTCCGTAATAATAATGCAGTGAAGACCGTTCACCCTAAAAAATAAACAAAAGGTGATCACACTTGATTCACTTATTTTCCACAATCATTTATAACGTAGATAAGACATACTTCTCTAGTAAATGGTTCAAATACTTTCGTAAATCATCAACCATCTTTTATATTTTATTGTTTATTAACAGAACAACAAAACAACATTGGAAAATAATATTTCAAGCTAAAATTAAATACAAAACAACATAAAAAGAAATGTTTTATGAAACTTCTTGACTGAACATATTGTCAGTCAGACAGTCAATCAGAGTTTACTATCAATCAACTAAAAGCTTGAAAGTCAAAGTCAAATACATTTTTAAGGGTTGTTTATACTTTGTTAACGTTAGTGTAAAAATTTATAGGTAAGTATATAAATTAGTAATGCCCCTTACCTTTGTTAGATACTAATATGAATTCATAATGTACGTCAATCTTTGTAAAATAGTTTTTTGCATGTTTACGCTACTTCTAATATATATCATACATAATAGAGCACTTAAGTACGAAATGCGCAAATAATCCAAGAGGTTAGCTTTTTCTACTAAAAATATTTATGATGGCAACACTGAAAAAAAATGTCTATAGCCAAAATGGCAGAAATGGATTGACAGATTCTTCGATTTTCGTAATTTATTTTTGGTTACAATTATTAATGTCTTTTTTACTTTTTAGGCATCATTTGTGCTACTATTTATGGTTCTAAGTAAAACTTAATATGTTATAAACAAAATCAAATACCATCGTTAACCAGAATTATGTTGCAACTTCTAGAAAAATAACTTTGGTATGATAACAAAAGATATAAAATTTGTGTCTTGTCTTGTTGTTATAAGATTTTCATCACATGTGTGCCTCTAGGAATAATAAGTCATGAATGTTAATAAACGTAAAAGTTCGGGTATGTATACGTAATTGTGCAGAATCAAGATTTTTTGGATTGTGACGTCACAAAGTCTGCGACTTATTTACAGTGCGAATTAAGGTATCGAAAATGTTATTTTATTTTTATTAGTACGTGGATTTGTATTCAGTGGAACCTAGTGCGCGTACAATTAGCTACGTAGTGGTGGGCTCCCGCTAGGATGGGCGGCGATGTCTGCCCCCTCCGAGAGTGCTACGAGCCCCTCACCGTGTGCATGCACTAACATATCGCTTATGCAATTGTTTCATGAGCTAAAGCAAAAGTTTCCTGGCGTTCCTGATCATGTTGTGTCCAACACCATTGAACTGTACTGCCACGACAAGCAAGCCTGCGAGTCACATCTCCATAAAGAAGTCAAAGCCTCCCTAACGCACGCATATCACGCGTCTTCGTCGGCAGCCGCGCGGCAGCTTAATGAACTCAAACTCAACCCTCCCAACAAATGTCGTAACCAGCCAATAATCAAACATGAAATTGCAAAATCAACAGCAATAAAGTCTATATCTTGTCAAGGGCCACAAACAGCTATCCTAAGCTCTCCTGTTCTTACAAATGACACAGAAAAGAAAATAAGCACTGATGCTAATCAGAATGTAGTGGAACATTTGTCTGATCAAGAGACAGAGAATAACAACATCACAAGCCCTGTAACCACTATAAATATTGACAAGTGCTGTGCAAAGTACAATGTGGAATCACCAAGTGATATTGAGTTGACTAATGAAAGTGTAAAGGAAAGTGTGAGCACACCACAAGATAAAGAATTGGAGCCTAGCCCATCATCAGAGAGTTTAAATTATAAAATACATAAGAGTAACAAAATAAGAAGCAACTTGAATGAGAGGCTACAGGTGCCACGGGAGAAAGCAAAGAGGCCAAACACACTCGACTTCATAAAACCAAACCCAGATATTGCATTTAAACAAACACTAAAAGAGCCAGAACCCGATGTGAGTAGAACAGTTTCTCCGGTGCCACCTAAATATGAAAGTCAACCAAAAGATCCTAACACTGGTACCTCATACAGAACAGAGCGAGGCTATCCTGTGAATTTGTCAGTAAATGTTAATTGTCATATGGACTTGAGTCATTATGATGATCTATGGTTAGAAGATTATGATAGTCCGAGAGCTATAACATCAGTAAATTTAACTGTGTGTACCCCTACTTCAAATATGGCTAGTCCAGTTAGGGAATCACAGGAAAACGATGGGGGTTTCGGAGGGCATGTAACAGTGACTGTGAGCCCGAGTACGACGCGGCCAACACGACGCAAGGCTCCGGCACCGCCACCACCGCAGCCTTCACAATCTTCACGGTTAAACTCACCAAGGCCTTCTAGGGTCGCTCCTGAACCACCTGGATCAACAATACAGGGTGAGTATTTTTAACCTACACTTTTAAATCTCACTATTATGCATATTAGACCAATTCCATGACTAAATACATAAGTCCATAGACAAAACTCAATCCTAGGCAGTTCTCCAATTAAAACTTTCAATCATTCCGTAGCATAAAACAAAGTTGCTGTCCATCCCTATGTATGCTTAAATCTTTAAAACTATGCAACGGATTTTGAAGCTGTTTTTTTTAACAGATAGAGTGATTCAAGTGGAAGGTTTATATGTATTATACATGTACACCTGTGTAAAGCCGGGGTGGGTAGCTAGTAACTAATAATAATAAATCTGTAACAAATTTGTTGTTATTAATTATGTTAATATGCATTTATATATGTGTAAAAAAGTTTAAAAACATATAAACTATTGAAAGTTTATACTAAGAGAAAGTTAAAGATGACTCATCCAGTGACACCATTTTTTAATAACAGATTGATAAATAAGAATCTTTTATAATAATTATTTGTCTCCAGTAAAAGCTCCAACAGTCAAATATTTATTAATAAATTCCTTAAATGTATTTTGCATATATAAATCATAATTTGTATAAAAATTATAATTATTTTAATAAATAACTATGGTATAAAATACATTCATTGATAAGACTGTAATAATTATAAATGCTATATAATAAAAATGCTTTATTATTAAATAATATAAATTAATGTTAAACCACATATACTTTCTATTTTTACCATTCTTCAATTTACTTGTGAATATCTGGACTAAGGATTTTACATAAATCTAGAATCAATATAAATGCAGAAGGAAAATTAAACAATTGCTTGTGTTTGATAAGTACCCCATGATATTTGGATTCATTACCTGTCTTAATTTTTATGAACTTATTAATATTATCTGAAATTTATGGAATAAGTAGGCCATTTTTAATACAATATACACAATAATTTTTATTAAACATGAAACTATTTCAGTGCTTACCACAATAAAAATAAATCCTTTAATACATAATAATGCTTTTAAAAACAGTATAGTTCTTGTCAGGCTGGCAGCTGTAAAAAAATAGTGGAATCCCATAGTAATGAATGAAGAACATTACTACAATCATCAAATTATTATGGGATAAGAGATGATGATTAGCCTATCATGCTATATACTTTTTTAATGGATGGATGATAATGGAATGTCGCACTCGCCGGTGCTACATTGATGGTTTACGCTGGCGGGGCACCAGTGGATGTTGATAATCCTATCAACCTCTACTGGCGCCCCGCCGTCATGACGGACTAACTGACCTGACCTCATACTCATCCAGTATGAGGTCAGGTCTGTTAGTCCGTCATGACCTCTTAAGTAGGAATTTATTACAAAGCTTTCCAGGGAGAACCAGGTGGATGTGAACCTGTTATGGTATTACTGCAATGGGGTCATCAGTCCACATTACTAACAATCCCTTTTTTCATATTTCTATATTATTATCTAAAAATATTGTCAATAGTTAACAGACCTGTCTGAAATAACGTATATACACTGGATTAAGGACTGATGGTGAAAGAAAAAAAAAACAGTAATAAATATTAATTCTTAATTTAAATTTTCAGATCGTTCCCTAATCGAGCGGCAGAAGGAGAGGCGAGATCGTTTAGCCAAAGCCCTGGAGCAGGAAAAACGGAGGTTGGCGCAGCTGACACGTGAGACCAAAATCCTGGCTGCGCCCACCCCGCCGCCGTCCGCTGCGCAAGCGCTGCGAAGTTGTGTGGAGCAACTACGCAACCAGTGCGACTTGATGTCAAAGAAACTCGAAATGCGGACTAACGGTAAATATTTAACAGTAGCTGAATCACGTAACTTCGTCTGCAACTTACATGACATTTATGAATATATTTCGCCCAATTTACATAATATATTTTTAAATTATACAAGCTGTATTACTGTAAAATTTCATACAAATCCGTTAAGTAGTTTTTTTTGTGAAACAGTAACAATGATCCATTGATTCATCCATTCATACTCGCAAAATTTCGCGTTATTATTAGTAAGATTTCCAAACGCTAATTATAAATTTAGTTAATCAAAATAATTTATGTTTACAATATTATTGTACAAGGGCAGTTGTCGATAGCGTGACTTCGCCCGCTCGAACTCCTTATCTCGTACTCCTTCAAAATGGTCAATGTGTCATCCTCTACCAACGCACAGTCTACTGTCAGCAATATTATCTATAACTAGCAACTCAGCAATGGGGGGTAATTATTATAGGGATCTGTATTTAACCTAGGTAAATTGTAAAAAATCGAATGCGTGGTTGGGTATATAACCACCAAGCAGCGTGCTTTGTAAGTTCTGGTTCGATTGACGGATGCGATCTTAGTCCTACGGTATGGTAACTCATGAGTGATACACGTGACGTGATATAGTGATGTAGTTCTTGAATGTAGGTGACGGCTATCACTAGCCATCACAGGTGAACCATTTTGGCATTCCAAATACACATTTAAAAAAAAACAGTTCATGTTTGGTGGCAAAATTTTAAAATCGCTTAAGTATGTTTTGAGGTTTTCGTTTTCGGTATTGTTTTTCCTAAGGAATAAGGTAACATGCCTCTGCACCCTGTAATTTCATTGCCATGCCTCATACTTCAAATGTAAAGGGAGAAAGGATTGTTAGTAATAGGTTTTTATTGCCAGCAATGTATGGTACATTACTATCAACCAGGTCCACCTCTACACCTATCCTGGCGAATTGGTCACGATGCGTTGACTGACCTGACTTTATCCCCATATTGATAATTATTCATAGGTGTCCGCCAGCGTATACCGTTAGCGAAGGCCGGTGCATCAGTCCATCATCCATAAACAATCCTGTACAGTCTATTTTTTTTAATGTCCAGGAAATAACTCATTTTCCTGTTACTATCGTATAAAGATAATTTCTTGAATGTTGATCCACGAATATATCAGTCGGCGACGCTTATTGCACGTTATCGCTATTTTGGTATCTAGTTATCAAACTTTTTAATGACAACATGATAAAATCGTAAGTATTCATGTTCTTACAGCATCCATTGTTATCGTTTCCCTTTCATTTAGTCGCAAAACGGAATATAACGGATTTACTATGTAAGGATTAGAAAAATAGTGTTCATTTTTCTAATATTTACATAGTATAAAATGAAGTCACTTCCGCTAACTGTTCGCTTAAATCCTTTAAACTACGCTACGGATTTTAATGCAGTTTTTAACAATAGATAGAGTGATTCAAGAGGAACGTTTATATATATAATATATATACAATCGTACGAATCTCAGGACAATTGACACAGAACCATCTTCTCACAAACTAAGCAGAGATTTTGTTATGGATACTGGGTAACTGATACTTTTTTTTTAAATACACACATAATATATATAGAAAACACCAAGACCAATAGAAGGAAAGAAAGAAAAAATATTTATTTAGTGCTTTTCAGTTACAATATAAATAAAACTATTATACTCATGAATACAAATATTTGTATCGTGCGACGAATTGAAACCGCAACCGTCGGAAGCAAGACACAGATATAATATATACTTACCCTCTGCTTCGTCTGTGTTACCATGGTAACATTGGTAAGAAGTATGTCAAATAAAAGCGGCAAAGATATACACTTTCTCATTTATGATACTAGTTAAGATTTGAATGTCAGAATTGTCCCAAATTGTATATATTCACCGTAATTTTTTTTTCTATGTCAAAGAAATTTGAGATGAAAATATGATTAAAAATTAATCATAATTTAGACATGTAATATAATTTGCGGTGTTGTATGTTATTTGTATAATCGAGCTGTGTACCGAAGTCTATATAGATAATACGCATGGTGAATATATGACGCAGACTTTAAGACAAGTGACAAGCACGTGCGCGAAGTATGTCATATACGTGTGACTGCGACCGTGCAAGCTGTACTGTACGCCATATCAATTGTGAACCGATTATGATGATTCATTTTGCAATAGTTAGACCAATGAGATATGGCAGTGAAATTATAGGGTAATATTAGGCGACACCACGAATGTTACGATGGTTGTCTATAAAGGTACAAGTGGTAACCACTTGCCACCAGGTAATCTGTCAGCTGGTTTTCCTTCCCAGTTACGAAAATGAGATATCTGATAATTTTATCCTGATTAAAATTTAATATTTACTTACATTCCATATTTATATCTGTTGATTATATTATAGTTACTGGTAACATATTCTATTTATATCCTGTTACCACGTGGATTTCAAATATACCAGCGAAATGTTGGTATGTCATCTGTCATATTCACTACCAGTTCTATAATTAGTAATAACTCTGACTGCCTTATCCTGGACAAAAAATTAATCAATATATATTATGATAATTTTCAGTCGTCTACGAATAATTTGTTGTCCTGTTTAATTAAACCTTTATAAAACCTTGTTGACTTCTGTAGCTATTCATTGAAGTAGTACGTCAGGAAATAAATTTTATATGTTCCCTTACTATATTCCAGATCCTGAGGACACTGGTAACTTCTACAACAACATATACACGGGCCAATTGCCGCCGCCGTACTGGCAGTGCCACATGTGCACGTTCAGGAACTTCCCGCTGCTCAACCGGTGCGAGGAGTGCGACATGCCACGCATATTCGTAGGTACGTCCACCGCCGGCCCCCTTCAGCTCCCACGCGAACTCCAGGACCTGGAGGGGCCCCACCGGTCGGTCATGCAAAACTCTTAATGTGTACCCTAGTTCCTCTATCGCCTTCAACAGTGCCTACAAGACAGTGAAAGTGTTTGATTTTGAAGTGTTCATACGAGGCTATACGGACCTATTTGTGCTTTCGTTTAACCCTAGCATGTCGGCATGCGGACGTTCAGATTAACTCAGGAAGTACCAATGTGGTCCACTGAACATTTTGCCTGTTGGTAACCCTCCAAGTGTTTTGTCGTTATGAAATTCTTTATATACCTCTTGCATGTGTGTTAGTGTTGATTTTATATTTTGACTTTATTAACACTCTGTGATTGTAAGTGCGGTCAGCGAACATGCTTCCATTTGTTTAATCACGCGAACCGTAAAGATTTTATGAACTATATTCAGCGACAAATATAGAGGTGTACTTAATATATACATTGTTCAGAATAGAATTAGGTTATAGGATATGAAAGTAGAGCCATTAAAATTAATGGTAAGGTCGGCAGGAGTATTGACTGAACAAAACATACAATAATGAAAATATTATCTTGCGCTTTATAATCTCTTACATCTCAAGGCTGTTTACTTAAAGTATATAATGCAATATATGTATATAATGTTAGAATAGATGATATCACAAATATTTCCTATTAGGAGAATGCCACATCGTGCCTCCTGTAGAATATTATGTTTCTTTGTTATAGGTCATTATTTAACGTTAGGTTTGTGATTGTTGAAAATATTAGTATAATTGATATTTAATATACAGATGTATTTATTGTTTTAAATTAGGCAAACATTATAACATCACTTGTTATCTGGTCAGACACAGACATCACAAGATCTCAAGTAAAGACTAAACGCGCCTTGCCAAAAATGTTACTTTACAAATTTATTTATTGATTGTTTTAAAAGAGTTGTAGAACTTAAAATTTGCTCAAATTCATCAGCTCATAAGTGTTCGATAATAATGTAATTCATATTTTATGCCACAATGTTGTACTTAAATCACATTTTTTATACAGGAATGTGTTTGTATACATAATTGTCAGTCCTTTTATTTACATATCAAATTATTGCATCACATGATAATATATTTAAATATCCGAGAACCAGGTACTTTATTGAAGTATGTATAGGCAAATAACTATATTGCATATTAAAGATTAAAACTTGCAACTTTATGGTAACTATTTATTTGATTTTAATAAGTGCATATTTAGGCTGCTAGTATACAGTCGGTCAGTTCTCCAGTGGCCGAAATAAGACTTAACATTCCTTTTGACTTCGATTGGCACATTTGTTTGCTACGTCTTCACAGATGCGCCAACTGGAATCCATGGAAACGTTAGTCGTATTCGAGTAACCTGACGTCTGATCGACTGTATATGATCGGCCTTAGATATAATATTACTACAAGATGATGGTTTGCTATTAATTATTATAAAAGCGCAATCGAATTTAACTGTGATAGGATAAGGCGAAACGTTTTACAGTCTTTTCATCGTTCCATAATGAAATGCTAAATAGGAGAAAATGTTTCAAAAATATGTTTTTTGCAATACAACAGTGTGATACGGGTATAGCTAGCAGTAACGATGTAACGGAAACGTAGTGGGGGAATAGTAACTGTAATAGTTACTCTATTAACCCTCATATTGATAAAAGTTAAAACATACATAAATATTAGTGGTCAGAACAATCTAAATTTAAAATATGTTTAAAAACATTGTACTATGATGACATAACACTTGGGTACATAATTAAAGTGCCCATATTTTTTAAATATTTAATGTACAAACACGGCTTGTTTATGATTATATTACATGTGTGTTTTTACTTTATTGTGTATATGTGGGTTAATATTTTTTATAATAATACATTTCTTCTGATATAAAAATGAACATTTAAACAAATTTTATACTTAGTAGTTTTTTTACCTAATTAGATTATTTATAATAAATCAATATAGCTTTCGTGTTAGTAAAGTTCATATTGATTTATTTTACATTTTCCGTTACATTACATATTTGATTGAGCTAAATATGAAATTAAATATTTATCTGCTATTTTTAATACCCACTCACGCCGCACGAGTTTAAATGAATTTATCAGTCATCACAAAAATAATATAGACTACCCACATCCAATTTTCAATCGTGACATTTTTAGCTATTAGATATGAATTGTGATCGATTTTTATGTACATTTGAGATTTAATAAAACATTTATTAGCCAATATTTTTTTTCACTAACTTCGTATAAACCTCAACAAATTCATATTATGTTAATTTAAATTATTAATTGATAATATAAATGTTTATTGCACGAAGTAAACTATTTACAAATAAAAAACTATTTAAATGTGATAAACAAAAGGCGGCCTTATATCCGCCTCATGAATATCACAAAATTATTAAAATTAATATTGAGTAAGAACTAAATATATCATTTACCAAATATTTAATAGGATATTTTCTGCATCGAGTAAGTCGAAATACCAATTAAAGTGTATTAAAAAACAATCCTAAAATATGGGACGAGCTGCAGACGAATTATCGTGTATTAATGGCAAAAAAATCACATGCACGAGACAGAATGAGATAGCAATGTTCGCGGTCCTTCTCATGCGTGCAACGGTGATCGATATATTATTAATTTTTCACTAGTCCTAGGACGTGAGTTGGAAATGATGTTTGTTTTATTTTATATGAAAATTGTATATGTAATGATATTTAACTGGCATCTCAACAACAATGGACGCAAAATACAATTGCGGTATCCATTTAATTTAATGTTTGTGGTCGTGCGTGCGAACTAAGCCTGATTAACAAGTTTTGAAGATCCCAACAGTAAAGCTTCGTAAATGTATGTGTTTCATTTGAGGTAAGTTTTGTTTTGGCTCCTATTAATCTATAACATTGTTGTTGTATATTGTGATTTTTTTAATTAAAAGCATTTAATCTTATTTAAAAATATACATCAACCAAACGTAACCAAAGATCTAATACTTAATCATCTTGAAAACAATGTGATCGTCATTCGCAATTATTTGATTAAATTGTCATCCTGTTTTTAGGAGGGATAAAATTTTAATACAATATTCCTACTTAATTCTTATTGGTCATTTATTACGCGCCAACGAAGCCTCCGCCATTTTGTAATGTTACTTTAGTTCAATTTTCAACCTTGTTAATAAAGTGTACGGTCTAAATGGGCTTGGATTTTTTAATTGGGTTTTGCAAAAACCTTTTTCAGTGTAACCTATAAGAATGTGTTTTATTTCCATACAGTTCGGGCACAGGATGGAATTACAGTTCGCCTTATGCCAGGACGACGGAGTAAGTATATTAACATTAATTGAGCCGCTGCAACGATTCGATTGGCGAATAATTGGCTTTAATCATTTCTAAATTCCATTTCAGATATAACACGATCGTGGGTGTTATGAAACAAGCGGAGTCGGGTGACTAGTCTATCTTAAGTGCAGTAGTATATTCTGCTTTTTTTATAAGTGATATATTTGGTAAACTATTTCGGCATGTTATTATTGAGGTTACATTGTAAAATAAGCAACAGCTAAATAGAATAAATACCTTTTTTAAATATGGCTTCGCACAATGTGCATTCGCCAAAATAAACACTTTTCTTGTTCAGGTATTTTCTTGATACATGTTGTATTTTTAAATTATTTTTTTAATATTAAATCAAAAAGACATGCCAAGAACGTTTATTGAATGTGCCATTTAAAAAAAAACATTATATAGTTACAAATCAACGGATCTGTGATATTCGCATTTGGTTGTTAGAATTTAAAAAGTCTGATTATTATTTTTATTTTACACATTCCAAAAATAACTGTTATTTGATGATATTTTGTTTTTAATATTCCATGTTGTTGTTTCTTCCGTATTCCCACTGAGTGCTTTGTTGTGCCAAATGCGAATAGCCTTCGGTTATTAAGGTACACTGCTGCACTTAAGGTGGATAGGGAAATCAGAACTAGTCTCATTAGCATTGAGTACCATACAAAAAAAGCTTCTATGTTGTAAACAATATACTCGTAATATAATCTTCAATCAACAACACCTTACTAGATATAACGTCAGTCAAACTGTCAAAATTAATGACTGATAATCTATAAAATGATTTTACTGTTAGTATGACTTATTAATAAAAACAAAACTAGGTATTATTACCAGTTGCATGTAATTCACTAAATACGTAATTTTTTTTATGTGGTCGAAATGTGTAAAATTTTTTTTAGTTGACTAGTTTATATTATTGGTCGAATCTTTCTAGAACTAATATAAAAAAATCAATGACATGTTTGTAATAATACGACTCAGTTTCTTAAATATCAAACGAAAATGAACAACGTATAATTTTATTATGATACTTTAGTAGTCATATTTATCACTTATTATTAAGAAATATCATATAAGTATATAGTATAGTATATTATCTATTGTTGTAATATATTATTCGGTCCCTATACTTGTTGTATTGTATAATAATAATAAAAAAATATTTCGACATTTAATCTTGAAAATGTAAGTGTAGATTTTTTAAATTTATATGTACCTACTATAATTTCAATTTCTTTTGTCTGTTAACATCAGATCCGGTAGATTTGAATATAACGATACTTTTGAAATGATCTAAGTATTCAAAATCTTACAGAATGAGTAGGTATATATACCGGGTGTAAGGGACAGGTTGGGAAAAACTGAAACTGAATTCAGACCATTATTCTGAACTGAAAACCAGTGGAAATTCATTCGGAATTTTTTAAATATTTTTTCTTTTAATATCATGTCAACTATGATATTATGTAATAATATAAATAAATATTAATATTTCATAGCGAAATAATATAAAATACCATAAAGCATCAATGTAATTCGATTTAAAATCCTTTCCCGCGCTGATCAGTTCTGAACTGACATGTCACCGCGATACTTCTCGTTGTAAAATCACATTGCACGCAATACATTGCGGGGCGTCAAAACTAAGAATCGTTAATTATCTGGCTGTGGTGCATTTCCGGTGGGAAAATACTTTGCCATCTGATTCAGACCATTCATCTTAATCAGCTGTTTTCGTTTTGCCCAACCTATACCTTACCTCCTGTGTATCTATCCTACCAACTGGCAACAAACTTTAGTAGTAGATAGATTATTTTTTTTTACAATATTTTATGCCTTCACAACGATGAGGTATATTAATTAATATGCTGTAGTTTATTGGATAAAACACTCAAAATCACCAAATAAGCTAATACAGTATGATGGATTAATGGATGTAACTTGAACATCAAATATAGGTATGCAGAATTTCTTTGCTTACAAGAAAGCAAATGGTAGCCATAAATCGAAATTTTGCGATATGTCTCATTAGAACATGCTCTGATTGATATCCTATCCCATTCCAACGGGAATCGTATTACGACATTCTGAGCCGAGATTCGAATCCCTAGCCGTGCCCTCAGATTAAAGTCGTATTCGTCACACACGAGTTGTAAATCCGTAGGTATTCTTAAAACTAAGCATAAAGAACTATAATGTCTTTTTTATGATGGAATATAAATAAAAATGCTTTAAGCCATGAATTGAACGAATATATAGTATTCCTTCAAACCTAGTGTAATCCATTATCGTGACGTCATTTATTATATATTAATTAATAATGGTATTATCATAGCGTACCTAAAGTACAAAGGTAAAGCTCTAAAATCAAACTCATTTCTTATTTCGCTTTAGACTGTTACACTATGAATCCATACATCAATAGAGAAAAGCTCTTTTTTGATGTGAAATGATGTACTTACCTAATAGGGTGGAATTTATCAAAATCCTTTCTATGGGGATGCCTACGTCATAGTAGCTTTATGCATGCGAAATCTCGGCCCGATCGGTTTCAAATTGACAAAGTTTCATACAAACTTTCATCCCCTATTCTATCCCCTTGAGGGTAGAATTAATCAAAATCCTTTCTTAGCGGATGCCTACGTCTTAACATCTACCTGCATGCCAAATTTCAGCCCGATCCGCCAGTGGTTCGGGCTGTGCGTTGATAGATCACTGTCAATCACCTTTGAGTTATATAAATTTAGATTTACAACTTTAATTAACACTTATTACACTTACATATTTAACCTACACGGACTTTACAATCTTACCTTAGGACTTATTCAGTATGAGGGTAAAATCGATCACCTGCCAAACTGATGTGAAATCGATACCGATTGTAGAACACACGAGTCGACAACGTTTCCAAAATGATAATTGCCTCTAACAACTTGCCTACCTACACACGAGGCGATGCAGAATACGTCCCATAAATGCTCCTATGTTGGCCCCCTGATTTTAATATCGTGTGTAGAGCGTTTTAAAATACAGACTGAAACTCAGTTTATTTTGTTATTAAGGCTGCTGATTGACAGTCGCTGGTTACCCCAAAGCGACTAGCATGCTGATGAGTTCATATTAGCAGCCTAAGGTAGTAAAAGATCGTAATTTGTCTTGGATCGCGTTCACGTCGTACTGCAAATACTACGGTAATCGAATCTGCTACCACCTGAAGATATATTGTTAAAAAGCTATACCACAAAGATATACAGTTATACATACACTATTGACACATCTTATACTTAATAACGATAATACCCATAGTTTCATAATGCATGCTTGTTTGAACAAAACATATACTTCGAAATATTTGTGTATTAAGTTATATCAGGCAAATATTTTATTTTTGCCTGTATGGTAACTAAAAAAAATGGTATTTGCCTATCCACCTACATTGTTGTAACTTCTTTCTCAATCTTGTAGACAGCTAGGCTTTTATCCATGTAACACGTTAATACGTGCGTTCTGAAAAAAACGAGTCAACCAAATTCTACATTATATTTATTTCAAGCATCAACCTTTAGTAACAGGCGATTTCCGTAAAGAAAATTGAAACACGAAATCTTCATTCTATAAAAAATTTTAACTAAAAAATATTAAATTATATTAAAATTAATCATTATTGGCATCAAATCAAGATAAATTTTAATTTGCACAGCTCTGGAATGGAATTACAACTGAGCAAATTAATAAATATACGCTATGACTTGTAAAATGAATTTCTATTTTAATATCAAAGAAACACTGTGATTTCTAGTCGAAGCTCTAAACTTCACATTTATTGTATATGTATTAAGTATTAAGCATTTTCTTTGTATAAAACTTAAATGCTCACTTATTGTACATATTTATATGCAATTCAATTATGTTTATGTATTAAATAAAAAATAATTATAAGCAGAACTATGATAAGTACTCCGTAACGTTATTCATAATTTCTATATGTCTTAGACTATTAGTAATTTGATATAAGTACATATTTTCCTTTTGCAATTCTAAATTTAATTCGCAAGAAATAGTTAATAGGCCCAAACCAAATAAGTATGTATACATATTTATTTCTTGGTCTGTGCAAATGGTAATATTTTTTTAGAAAACAAAATAAAAGTTCATAATATTCTATAGCTTAGTTTAATTCAACTCCTGTTTTCAAACTGTATATTTTAAGTACAGATAACTTTTAAATCTTATAATTTTAACAGTATGTAAAGTTCAATTCTAATTCAGTATAAAATACTTATCTTTTATAGAATGACAAATTGATAACATAGTTTTATTTATGAAGTTTAAAAAATTCATTAATAAATTTAATAATGGGGGGCTTACATATAAAAATAAATAAAGACTCACAGAAACTACATACTAAACTCAGTTAAAACAAGAATGAGTAAAATCCATTCTCATTTAGAGGAAACGTTCCATAGACAAAAATATGGTTGGGTCAAAACGGGTTCCTTTTTGAACACAGAAATAATTTCTACTATATGTGTAACTGTACTACAATATATTATTACATAAATGGCAATAGCAAAGTAACTAAAGTTAGGACAAGTAGCATTAATTTGTTACTAATATGATGGAGGCCCCCTTAGAATGTTGGTTCACACTATTCTTAGTTCGGCTTATGGCTATTTAATATTTACAAATGTTTGTGCAAGTGTAATTTTATTTGCAAGACATATTAACATTTATATTTTTGCCTCATTACATTCATTTGAAATTTATTTACAATTTGCATAATATGAATGAATTATTTTATAAATGAAAATACAATGAATATCATCATTTGTGTTCTAATACTGTTTAAGTTCATGTATATATTTGTCCTGAGATTATTATTATATATTTGGTAATTTTGATGGCATTTGCTAGAGAAATTGGGCTAATAAATTTTTTTAACTTGTATATTTAATAAATCTATTATGAATTTACACTTATTTTAAAGCTATATTCTGATGGTTCTATGTAAAAATATAGTTTTTGCACTCTTATAAAAAGTTGTTATTACTGACATATGTGGTGTTAGAACTTAAGTGATGATATATTATGTTTAATCATTGTAATGTAATGAGACCACAGTACTTGTACAAAAACATTTAGAAAATTGTATAACTTTGTATTCATTATACTGCTTTTATATTTGGTATTATATTATGTAAAATATATGGTATTTGTACTATTTTGTATAATCAGCACATTTATCAAAATAAATCTGTTATCAAAATTTGTTTAAACATGTTTGTTTGAATTATTCCTGGTAGTAATTATTTTTTTTATACCACAGTGGTGGCAAACAATACACATACATACAGCTCATCAGATGGTAAATAATTAGGATAGCTTTTAGAATCACAAAATAATGAATTAAAAGTTATTTAATAATACAGAACAGATGTTATTATATTTAGGCCATATTTAATCAAAATTATACTATTATATGCTATAATATTACAATTTCAGATTTATTTAAAAAATAGGCATATTTCATTATCTTAATATACAGAACTCATTTACAGAAGAATTATTTATATATATAATTCTTCTGTAAATGAATGTGATTGTGTGTTAACTTATGTTACAGTTACAGCAAGTGTAAGGTTGGATCATTTGAGGTAAATTTGGTGTGTATTATTTCTATGGGGTCCTTGATATACATATAGCAATTCTTTTCCATGCAGGTTGTTATATGCATTGAACACTGACAATGATATTTCCACAAAATTGTACAGCTATATAGTTTATATACATAATTGTATGTATATTATGGAATAGCACATTTTCTCTTGACAAGTCGATAGTTGAGACTTCAGTTAACAGTAAGCAGTCTCCTCACTAGTAAAGGCGATTTACCATGTTTACCCAGTTCTCCAGTACTAATATTTGATTTGTTATAAGTAGGTAAAATGGAACTGAATGTGAATTAATAGTCTTGGTTCTTTATTGCAATTTCTATTTTTCCATTTTACTAGTGGTAACCAAGACTACAGCCTGCTGATTCACAGTTACTATTGATCATCATCTAATATATTATGAAAATATATTATCCAAATATTAATATTTTCCAAGGTGTAGTTTTTAAAGACCATATATAATGAATATCAAAATGCAAACTGACTACCCTAAATGGGATATTGTGGAGGTATATTATATAACTGCGACACATTAAATTGCAGTACCTCGTTCCAAATTCTGTTTAATTTCAGCTGTGTGCTCACCGTAAAACCTTTCCAATTTTTTATTGAACTTGGCATTTCTTTCATTAATATAATCAATGTCAGCATCATCATTGTGGATGCGTCTCCGTGAGTACTTAGCTCTCTTTGCTATTTGACCCTCTAAATCATCCACCATCCTGTCGACAGCTTCCCTTCGGTCTTCATGCATTCCATGTATAATAACATTAGGACCACCATAGAATGCATCACCATATTTCTCTTTTTGTTTTTCATACTGTTCCATGTCTGCTGCTGGCATATTCTTCACTAATCTATTATACTGTCGCACTGTCGCTTGTTCGTATGTTGAGAATCCTTGATCAGGGTTTCTTTTCTTCTTCTTGCGTTCTAGTCTCTCAGCTTCCGTTGCAGATATGTTGAGGAGCTTCACTCTATCGTAATTCTTACCTTGCTTCTCCGCTTCATCTCTCTTTTGTTGGTCGTCAAGTAACCATTCAGCTTGGCGTCGTTTGGCTTCATAATTTGGCGGCAATTTGTTTCTTGCCTCTTCAGCTACAACTTCTTGATGGTTATGTGATCTAGCTTCATTTCGTGCAGTGTGTAATGATCGCAATCTTTTCATACGTTCAGCTTGTTTTTCCGCAAACGTCATCTCCTTGGGGGCTGATGTTGTTTCTACAGAACTCATTTTGATGTTGTTTTTACAATATCTATTAATTTAATAATAATCAACGACATTGACAAAAACAATATTTGAATATTTAATGAACTAGTAGGTTTGTTTCATTATTAAAGATTAAATTTCACAACGTAGATTTATTTGGGTAATAATTTACAAATAAACGAACAGAGTAACCGAATAATATTAGTAGTTTGTTTCTGACTTTTATATGTTAAAAGTACTCTGTGCGTGAACTGTGTGAAAAGGATATAATGTCTAAATCTGAAGTCTCATACAATACACATTTCATTGAATTAAAAAAATTATAAATGATATATTTTATGCGTCCTTCATAAAATTCAATTATTTTGTTTTTCCCGTATCCTTAGTAATTTTTCTATATTTATACTTCATTTTGGTTTTATACCGATGGCATAAAAAAACAGAAAGAACTAAGTTGGCAACACTAAGCGAACCGCATAAATTAAAGTGAAGTTAGTCAATAAAGAACGAATTAAACTGAAGTAAGAAACAAATTAGTAGTCTGTCGATGTTTTTGAACGGTTTCGCTTGTGTGAAAATAGATTGTGTGTCGAATATTTTTTCTAAACAAATCTAAGTGTTTTTGAAGTTCACGATGTCGGATGAAATCGCAGAGAATGGAACAGCTAACGGAGACGTGCCGGAGATTGAGCTGATTATAAAGGTAGACTTAGCTTTACACGTGTTATTACAAGATTATCTGGTACCAGAACCGTCAACAAGGCACGCATATTGTTGGCCTTCGCACTCTATGAATATTAGTAAAAGATGGAAAATGCAATAAAAACGTTGTAACTGAGAAATAAAAATAGTAGTTGCGCGTCATATTTTAAATTATTCGTGTGTATTTATAATGTTGGTATGTATGTACCCATAACCACAGCAGCATTCATGCATCTAAAACAAATTGCATGATAATGTCGTGCAGCACTTGTATGCATGAAAGTATATTATTACTGCACTTATAATGCGCGTTATTTAGGTCGTCTGCAACTCTGTTTTGTTGATTTGATACGTCTGGCGCGTTTTATGGAACACTGACTTGAAAACTTGTACAATAGACCAAAGGAGATTATAGTTTTAATTACTGGAAGGAGGCAGTTGGCTATTGGTTGTCTCTGCCTATCCAGTTACATATTACGTATTTGGTCCCACCAAAGATAGTCAATTAGACATGTTACAGAATGATATTTTGAAATCTTATATCTATTTATTTAAATATTTAAGTTACTGCTTACTTAATATATAGAATGAAAATGAAATCAGCAATATATTTACATGTATTGATAATTAAAACATTACATTAAAATAAATTAGTCAATTGCATGCCATAGGTAATGGTGTTAAGAGAATTCAATAGAGAACTTTTATAACTGATAGGACTACATGAAACATTTAACAAAATTCCTAAAATATTCAATATGGTCATCGGCACTCCAGGCACCTTTGACTATATATGTAAATAAAAAAATATCTCCATATACTTTTAACTTTAATGTAGAAATTCATTGTTAGCTACAGTTTATTTAAACAGATGATAAAAAAGTATAATAACATAAAAAGTTGCAATAAACATTATATATAAACTTTAAATACATATATAAGTAAGTAAGTCATTTATTCGCATATAATAATATATTTATATATAAATTTAATTAAAATTAACTTTATTGGCCTAAATGAGGTATTTAAAGTACTAGTAAAGTAAATAAATGTACGCAAAAGTTTAAAATAGAGATTACTAGAAATATCTGTATGTCTTCTCTCTCGCTTTTTAGATATCTCATCTTTATATATTTCTACCCATCACTAACCAAACTCTGATGAATTTCAAAACATACTTAATGATTATATTATAACTCACTTTTAATATAAATTTTTTGGTATTTATATTCACCATGTTATTACAATTAAAATTAAATTTATTTACTGAAAATTGCACTAGTTATCTCTTTCTAAATGTACTTAAAATATATACTTAATTAACATTTCCTCATATCCTTAATTATCAACTTTCAACACAAAATGTTTCTACATGTATAAACTAGCTTTATCAAATATTAACACAAAGTAGTTCCTTTTCATTCTTGTTAAAATATTACACAAGAGATCTTGATCTTCTGTATTATATTTTTTAAATGATTCACTATTTCAAGATTGTTTAATATTATTACTTATCAGCTGTTCCCGTGATTTCGTCAGCATGGAATTAAACTTTATTTTTCTAAAATAAAATAATTTTTCCTGCCATAAAAGTCCCGTCAAAATCGGTCCAGCCATTTCAGAGATTAGCCAGAACAAACAGACAGACAAAAATTGTACTTCAATATTACAAACGGACACTCTAATTTTATTTATATGTATGTATATAGATAACGCGATGTTTGCTTCAAACTACTATATACTTAGTCATACATAATTTGCTTAACATTAAATATTTGGAATGAATGAAATTATAATGAATTTAATCATTAGTATTCCAAACCATTGCGCCCATTAGTTCGTCGGGTCATCATTACATAATATTATACAATAAATATGATGAGTGTACAACCTTTTGTTACTGTATTTATTGTTTTTTAATACTACCTCTTTATATCAGTAATTGAAGTTAGTTACTTATGTAGTAGGAGTGCATGTGTTTTTTATGGAATATTCGACTTTATGGATGTTAATTTTGTTTATTTGTTTACTTCTGGCAACTTTATGACTGATATTACATTATTATATAGTCTTACAGACTAACATAAAATAAAGGTATATAATGGTATCTGCCGCGATAATGAAATGGTGTCCCCGCGTATGTTAACAGTATAACTCTGCCGGGGCAGTAGTAGAAGGTGATAGGATGAGCAGGAAGTCAGGTCAGTTACCCACCATAAAAAAGTAACCTTAAGAAATTATACACCATGGTTTCCAGAGAGTGTGTGGGCCCACTAGTCCCAATCCCCTTTCTCTGAATCATCACAGCATGTATCATCGGTTACGTAGGTAGATACTTCTATCGTAACACCAAAAGGTGGATTATAGTGATATATGATTAAGATAAGAAATTTAGTACAATATAACTACTTTTTGTTAACTGTACAATGACCCTATACTTACTTGTTACTGTCGTTTTTATTATTATTTTGTCTCGACTATCGACATTTTTTTCTGAAATTCTGCATTTATTTAGTCTAATAGGTTGAATGTCGGACACCTTGAGGTTCATGGTTCGATGCTTATGTAGACCAAAAATTGTTGCGTATTCTTGGAATGTTGCCTGAATTTTGTGATCGCACATATAATTAGGTGCCTATTTATTTTTCAAATAACTATCCACTCAAAATGCAGCATAACAATTACAGCAACATTTGCGCGAAACAAGTGCGCGGGTAATTTATCAAGATCGCCCTCAACTCCGGGTGTGTTTACACCTGCAAGTTTTGCAACCCTCGAGTAAATATAAAGAGAATAAATAAAAATAAACATATCATGATTAATATAGATAAAATGAGCTTATGAGATACTTATCTATTTTTAATTGAATTTGGTTTGGTTACCTCTAATCGTTTTATTTTTGTATGTTGCATTTTTATACCTCGGATTATTTCAGAGTTTAAATCTTGTACTTTAGGACTATTCTGCTACGTATGTGCAATAAGTAGTTTGACTTTGCATCGATGTATTTTTTTAAAACATGACAGGTCATGTTATTTGCTGATACAACTTTCTCTAGGTGTAACAATCTATAAAATTGATGAAGTATTTTCTCAAAGTATAAAGGTATATTTTATGTTTCTCACACAAATGTGTTAATATATTATTTCTCGTAATTGCATTACATCTGCGGTACAACTGCAAATACTTAAGTTTTACTTACCTACATAGAGTAGGATACGTTCACACTGCAATTAATTTGCGACGAGCATTCGTTTTTGCACATAAAACATCGTTGTTTTGACCATTAATCATTTTGTAGTTGGAATTATGTAACGTTTTGTTTATTGGCAACGCTGTTACGTTTTCACTGTGATATTTATTGTGAAATAACAGTAATGAGTGACGGCTACACGAAATATGTTTGCAGTCGACGCTATATCTAGTAGCGTTAGTTTATATTTGCAATACGTAAGTTTCTTGCTCGTTCTTTTTATGAGTGTGCATTCTGAATGAGTGGTAGAATAAAGAAATATGACTTTTCAAAAGTGTTAATATTAAGTGTATTTGAATAAAGATTATTTCTATAAGTAACACTCGGGAAAAAAATATTATGAAACCGTTCTGTTGATATTTCTGCACATTTTTTAATCTTTCCTGTTAGGCATTTAATTGTTTGGATAATACATAATAATAAAAAATAAAATTCGTAACTATGTTGTTAATCTGGCAATCATGAATGTTTTAATTTGAAATTTGTTGATAAAATTATTAGATTTTTATAACACATACTTCAGAGTGGTTTTATACTAATTTAAAGTGGGCAAATCCCTAGCAATAATATATAGGTTTTTTTATGGAAAGGTATCAATTACAGTGCTCACCTAATTTTTCCATTCTCATTTAGAGTTTCATCTTATTCCATAGGATTTAGTCCTCTAAAACACATGACGACTTTTATTTATGGCCTTTTTTACCTCTTCAACTCATTCTTGTTTTTTACTCTTAACTTTACGGCAATTTCCATTTTCTCTGCGACCTATTTCTATAAAGACGGTCCTAAAACGGTCTTGTTGTCTCTGTCGTAATCTGTATGAAATTCCTTGAGGGAGAGAGAAATTCCTTGCGAGAGAGCGCCTTCGAAACAGAAACCTACACGGCAGCGATGTCCAGGGGAAAGTGACATACACGCGACTGATCGTGCAGCCCAGGCAACTGACACGAGCTATTATCATGTCCACATATTCATGATGTATGCTAATGTGGATAATTTCGCTCATGACCATTACACTCGAACATAAATAGTATTGATACTTATAGTGAAATGATCATAAATTTTGAACTAAGTAAGTAGTTGTCGCATATAGCAATTATTGGGTTTAAATGAAATCGAATGTAATGGGACCTAACCGTACCTTTTTTCGAACTACTCTAATACTGTTGGCTGTAGCTTCACCGGATTATAGGGGGCGAGTGCAGATGGCACTCCAAAACCACGGAGATTTATGCAGCGGCTGAAGGCTAACTCCCGCCTGTAACCGTACCTAAAGTCTGTGGACAGTGCGTAAATTTCATTTCAGTGTTCCTACAACAATTATCTCTTAATTTTAGAGCGTTAAAAACAGAAAATCATTGTCATTGATATTTTTGCTTGCGTTCAGGTCATCTGATCGTCGTTGTCTAGATTTATCTCAGTAATTTATGCACCTCTTTCTTTAGACCTATTGCTGGTCCTATGTTCTTTAGAATAATTGGGACCTTAAAGAACTATTTTGTTTTATAACCATTAGCCGTAGATGGAGTGACGGCCCCATGAAAAAAAGGGCCAGTGCCACCGTTAACCATCTGTCGTGGGACCCGTTCTGCTTATATGTTAATTCTGTTGCCAATGACGCAATGGTGTAATTGATGGTATTTTTGTAGACTTGTTCTCAGCTGCCGGATGACAACTGTCTAAGACATGAGTGACGTCATTGTACATACAGTCAGCGCTCAATGTGTGTTTTTCTGTACAGTCCAACT